GGAGGGAGAGGGAGGGACGGGGGGGTTAAAGTATTTACCCAGTGGTTGATGAAGTTTCTGAACAGCATGGCAGGGGCAAAAGACCTGGCGGGGTTCATTCCCGCCCCAGTGTAGTACATCTGAAAGGCAAAAAAAAAATCACGATCAAATAATTTGGCCACAAGATGGCGGCGTGGTTCCCCGTTACTGTGCACCTTTTTGTGTTTACATTTTTTTTTACATATTATACTTCACTGAAGACAGTATTTTTGTGTTTTTTTTTCTTTTTCTCTTTTGCAGTGTTCCTGTCCCTACGTGGCCTCACCCCCATCAGATGTCCGATGGTGACGGAGAAGCCGATGGAGAGGGCGGCGGAGCCCAGGCGTCCGTTTCTCCTCTCATCTGTCACAGCAAAGATGCACACGACCAGCTGCATGGTGAGGAACACCTCCACGGTGGTGGCCGTGGTTAGACTGATGCCCGGCTGCAGCTGCAGGTGGAGGAGGAGGAGGAGGACCAGGACCAGGACCAGGAGTTAGTGTTGTTGGAATAAAACATCAACATCATTGTTGTTTCAGCTTCTACGTCACCACTTACCGTGTTCATGGCCATGTTGCCCCTCATGTTGCCCGGGGTGACCCCGTAGAGCACGGCGGCCCCGGCCAGGGCGCCCAGGCACTGGGCGGCCATGTAGAAGACGGCACGGAAGAAAGACATCTGCGAACCCACCAGGTAGGCGAAGGTGACGGCGGGGTTGATGTGGCCCCCGCTGACGTGGCCCACGCACTGGACCAGAGTGGCCGCGGCCAGGCCGAAGCACAGCGCCACGTGGAGGACGTGCTGAGGGCCCGCGGTCCAACGCAGGGCCGCGCCCATGCCGAAGAAGACGAAGAACATGGTTCCGAAGAATTCTGCGAAGACGGCCCGCCAAAAATTCACGGACCTGAATTCCCACATGTCGGCTGTCGGTGAGTGAGTCTCTAACTTTGTAGAAATTTAAACTGAGGTGAATTTGTCTCTGTGGACAAACTCCAACGTCCAGATGTGAACTGGGAGGTTAGAGCCAACGCAGCAGTGTTTGCCTTCCACCTCTGTCCCTCTGTTGAACAGACATAGGGGACGTAGGGGACGGTGAGTGTGGGTGGAGGCTGGAGGAGTCAGGAGGTCGTCGCTGAAGAGACAGACAAAATGTCAGGTTGGACCTTTTAGCCTCTGATGGAGGCGAGAGGCCGGACGGGGACTTTATAACGCCCAGCAGAGGCCCCAGGTGACGCCATAATCCCCCGCGTAGAACCCAGGGGTGAGAGAGATGGGCGGGGGGGAGGAAGGAGGAGAGACGTGGTTCACGCTAAATTGAAAGAATTATCACGGCGTTTAACTTGTAACGAGCTGAGGTTAAATGTGACGGTGAGAGGACAGACCTGGGAAGGAGTGGACACTTCAGGAAAGACAGATTTTTGACACCATGGAGCTGGAGGAGGGAAGGGGAGGAGGGGAGGGAAGGGAGGTTGGGGGGGAGAGTCTTTTAGACAGTGGAGCACCGGCCCCAGAGGAGAAGGCTGTGTTTACGGTTGATGTCGTGTGAAAAATGATTCATATTTTAGGGCAGTGAACGTGTCGTGGACGGTGGACACAAACACACGTTTGGACAAAGACTTCCACACAGCAGACAAACACACATACACACACACACACGTGCACAATGCAGTTGAGGCCCAGACGGAAGTGCCTAAAGCGAGCAGCGCTGACCCATACACTGAAAACCCTGACCCTGTAAAACCATTGTCTTTAACACAGAAAATATGACAGTGAAGCAACTGGACAAACAACACAGAGGACACGGAGGACACGGACACTGACCTGGACACTAACCCCAACCAATGAATACAAATACAAATACTGACAAAATACAAACAATAAAATATAACAAAACATGAACAACATCAACATTAGAATAAAAACATTGATTTTATAGGATAAAATAAAATATATTTATTTTGGGTTACAACCTCTGATCTAACATCAACCTTAGACCTAAAACTAATACTAACTAAAGAAGTTTTTAATTTTTTTAAATTACTTTTTATATTTTATACTTTTTATTGACTATTTTATTTTTATTGTGAGGAATGAGTTATGTTTTTTTTAATTTTGGGGACTTTTTATTTTTTGAGATTTTTTCACGATGGTAAGGCTATAGTAAGGCGTGTTTTGGGTGATTTTTGAAATATTCATATAAAATATTTTTTGGACTTTTAAACACAAAATATTCACTTGGCAGCATGTTTTAGGACATAATCTTGCATTTTAGTGCATTTCGGGGACTTTTTATTTTTTGAGATTTTTTCACGATGGTAAGGCTATAGTAAGGC